TTCGGAACCTCTTTCATTTTATTAGTGGAAATATTCCTGATAACTTAAAAACAGCATTAATCACACCAGTTTTCAAAGCAAACGAAAACAATGAATTTAAAAATTATCGACCCATATCTGTTCTCACTGGTTTTTCAAAATTATTAGAAAAACTCATGTATAAGAGATTAATCAAATTTATCGAAAAAAAATAGAATGTTGACGCACCATCAATATGGTTTCAGAGAGAATAGATCCACCGAACTTGCAATAATTGAACTGACCAACAAACTTACTAAAGCAATAGATAATGGAGAATTCATAATTGGTATATTCCTAGACTTATCAAAGGCATTTGATACAATTAATCACAGGATTCTGATACAAAAACTAGAACACTATATGGTATACGGGGAGTAGCTCAACTATGGTTTCAAAACTTTTTGACCAACAGAAAGCAAATTGGTTTCAAAACTATTTGACCAACAGAAAGCAAATTGTCAAATATAATCAAGTTAGGTCAAAAGAAATGTTAATTCAAACTGGAATCCCTCAAGGATCAATTCTTGGACCTATTCTATTTTTATTATATATGAATGACATTAAAGTAGCCGAATGGCTGAATGTTAATAAATTATCCCTAAATACTAATTGAAACTAAATTTATTCTGTTCAGATCTTCCAATAAAAAAAACAAAATATGACGTTAAAATTGCCATAAATGATAAAAACATTGAACGAGTTAAAAGTACAAACTTTCTTGGTATAATTATTGATGAATGTATGACCTGGAATAATCATATAGCTAAAGTAGTACAGAAAATTATTAGAGCCTCTGGCATAATATCAAAAATGCGTCATTTCGTAAGTAGAAATGGAATTAAGCTGATATACTATGCATTGGTCTATCCATACCTTATTTATGGAAACTTAATTTGGGGTAACACCTACAAAACTCGGATCCAAAAAATAATGAATATTCAACCAAAAAATTGTACGGTTGATGACGTTTAAGTCGTATATGGAACACACTGAGCCGATTTTTAAAGAATTAAACATCTTAGATATCTTTAAAATTAATGACTATTTAACTGCCATGTTTATGTTTCGATATCACCCACCATCTTAAAAATCTGTCTGAAGAATTTGATAATTTTTTTGTGAGTAGTAATCAAATTCATCAGCATAACACGAGAAACGCATCCAAACTTTACAAGAATATAAAAGAACAAATTATGCAAAGCATACTCTTTCAAATAAAGGTGCTGATGTATGGAACTTACTAGAATCAAATATCAAAGATATAAACTCTTGCACTGCTTTCAAAAAACAAATTAAACAGCATTATTTATTGAATTAGAAATAGGATTCAAATTATGCATTCTACCTACATATTATAAAGTGATAAATACTAGTGTCAATATGCCTTTATATATGACGTATATTTGTACTGTAATTATTTTGCTTTATAGTTCTTTCCTTCCTTTTGTAAATAATACACTCTAAGATAATTGTTTTTCTGATTTTACTGCAAGTATATTAATTAATAGATAACAATGAACTGTAACTAGGGGCCTAAATTAAAAAGCCTGTTAGGGTTTCTACTTTCTAGTAGGTCCCTAGCCCAATATTATTAGAAAATATTTGTAAATATTAACAAAGCTGTACATAGGGGAAAATACATAAATTAAAAAAAAAAGTTTACCATAACAAGGTGATAAAATAAAAACCCGACAACGATTCTATGATGGTAAAATTAGCCATACGCACGACACCAGGTCTAACAGTATAACACCAATAAGTTGGCCAATATCCATATTCTGATACCATCTATTCGTGATATCTAGTAGTGCTGTGATCGTGGAATGAAGAGGTCTAAATCCGTGCTGAGAAATTGATAGTAAATTTGACTTGATTAAATACTCAGATCTGGTTGTGTATTAGCTTCTCCATCATTCTCGCCACAATCGAAATAACCGATATAGGTCTATAATCGTTCATGTCGTATCTTTCTCCGGATTTACAAATTGGTGTTACCCTAGCAACCTTCCAATCAGTTGGAAATATACCTGTACGAATTGATTGGTTGAAAATTAATGAAAGTGAGGGAGCTGTCTGACTGTCATGAAAAAATAAATTCACGGAAGTATGGTCAAGTATCGTACTCGCTTCACACCGGCTCCGTAATGGAGTGAACATGCTTACATGGAAATGGCGCACGCTTTGGGTGGACGCCCTCCAGCATCTCCTCAATTCCGAAAATGCTCACACTGATTTTATTATTTCTCGAAAATATTTCGGCCTCCCTCGGATATGTCGGAAATGAGATTCCGTCCCAGTTGTATTTTTCGGACTGCTTCCTAAGTTCTTTCGAAAGAACGTTTGCCTTTTTGTCCACGGGATGAAGCGCACGTGTAATGGCCCACTTAACTGAGCACATGCCGTCATCGTCGTTCCATACGTTAACGATGGCTTTTTTTCTTTTTTAGTCTGTCGGGTATTTTGGAATAACCAATACCCCTCAAAACCACGTATTCGACGATGTGAATGTTCAAAAGCTGTACTCTACCCAATCTCCATCCGGACCCTTCCTTCTGATAGTTATCGAAACTCTCCAAAACCCTGGCAATGGCGACGTCGTACTTTCCCAGAACGTCTGTTACCGGATAAACCGACTCGTGACGACTTACGAACCACGCATCCTTTTCCGTAACTTTACCCATCGCCGGATCGGGCTTTATCATGGAACATAAGGTAGCGAGTTGAAATTTCATCGGATGTCTAGCGTAAGCCAAAAACTCCTGAACTCCTCTCGAAAACCTCACCGTGATGGTGTACGTTCGTACCGTCTCCTCAAAGGCCGACGATGCATATATGAATGGGTGTGATATCGCGCTCGGCCGGCCTTTTCCTTCCATATCTTAGGAAGTTTTTCCTCAAGCTTTTTCAGGCGGTATCTTTTTCACCTCTTTTCGTTTCGTCTAAAACGTGCCTGCTCCGCCTCCACGTCGGTCTTCTTCAGGGTCTTTTTGACGGTCTTACCTTCACCTCTCCCGTGCCCTCTCGTTTCGACGAAGTCGTGCTTCTTCCTCCCTAAGTGCTTTCGCACACAGTTCATATCGCCGCTTTTCCTCGTCCAAAATCTCCTTCTCCCACTTTACCATTTCCGCCTCCGCCAACCATCTATGTTCTGGAGCGTCCTAGTTTTCTCCGGCTGAACTTCAAGCTCTCGGATCCGCATTTCCCTCTCCTGTATAATCTTATCTTTTGCCGCAATAATACGCTTCTGCTCCTCGACAATATCCTCCATCTGCTTCGTCCATTTCTTCTGGTTCTCCGCCTCCTGCTGCAGTAGTCTTTCGAACGACTCTTCCGCATTACGCCGCTGTGCTTGTCTAACAGCTTCGGACTTTCCCTTTAGCTGATGTCGAATCTTCTGTCTGAACATCTCCTCCGTAACTCCGTTCCTTGGCCTCCCGAAGGAGGTTGTTTCGACTTTGCGAATTCATTGTTTTATTTATGTGTGAAAAGTTTTGTCTTTAAGCCAACTCTAAGGTTGATTCCGTTTTCAAATCCAAAAAGGTCTGAAAAAACAATGAATTCAGTCCAAATATTTTCGGCAGGCGTCCGCAGTTTTGGGACATGCGGACAAAGTCCTTTGTTTTATTTAGTATGAAAAAATTATATGCCCAGACCGTTGATTTCGAAAACTAAGAAAAATCAGACTCCCGAAAACGCCGTTCCTCCTCCTCCGCAATTTCCTTCTCCCATAAGCGAAGTTCGGTCAGGTGTCCGGCGTATGTAACGGGCCTTAACTATTCAAACAATAGATAATGAAGCGTAATGAGGTTTATCATCTCATTATCTTAATTGCATTCGACGCGACCGAAATTCGATTATTCAAACAATAGATAATAAGCTGAGGTTTATCATCTCATTATCTATTGTCTTATAATTGCATTCAACGCGACCAAAATTCGACTGTATAAAACGGGCCCAAGACTAAATTAAATCTACTTCGTCTTCGTACGTACTTGGTTATTGCATGCTTGATAGTTTAAATATATGAATGTGTACAGTTTAGTTCGTGGGTGCATGTGCACTGTGCCTCTACGTAGTAATTTTGAGCAATATTATCTCAACTTTCTAACTACTGTCTGAATCGATTGATTCTTTCCTAATCATTCGAGGCATTCGAAGTTTCATACTTACTGAATACTGACTCAATTAACAATTTATAAATTAATTGTTCGTTTTATCGTTGTGTATGTATATATTTATATACTTCTATACAGTTTCTTGATGTGGATATACCGAATATTGAGAATTATCCTGTGCTCTCTGACCAATCAGGCACGAGAGTACATACTAAATGTATAATAATATTGTTAACAACCAGGAACAATATGGGCAGCAAAATATTGTTCAGGCCTGTTTTCATCAACATTGTTACGGGCTAGGCGTTTTTCCCTATTCGAGATCGACTTGTGGGCAAGTCTAGGGGCAGGCTAGCAAGGGGGCAATAATGGTCAACATTCAACAATCAATAATAAAACCGGAAGTGAGGCGCCAGCTGCGCCCGTCAACCAGCAAGTTCAAAGCAAAGTCACACAAGACGACTCATCCAAAAAAAGACACGCAGAAGGACGACTTGGCCAAAAAAGCGTAACCGCTGCTACGCCATGATTCGTCATCAAAATGCTGACGCCAAGGTCCTAGCCTGTCGGAGACTGTCTATATACATCTTAATATTTGTGATTTAATAGCAGGATTAATTATTACTTTAATTAGGGACGAACATTGCATGATTGACACATTTATATTATTATGAAGAGGAATTAAAAGATAGGAATGTAGTGACTGTGTGACTGTGAGAGAGACTAGACCGCGTATACAACTGTGAGTGATTTTCAATAATATAATTTTATAAAACCGAATTTGCTTCGTCGAGAGTTTGATTGTTCAATACCTTTTAGTAAGGGTCAATTTACTAAACCTAGCACCTCCGACGGGATCGTAAAATGAGTGAGACAAACGCCAGCACCGCGCTGGAAACAAAATTAGTTCAATTGCAACTAACGACGAAGCGCACGGACGGAATTCTTGCAAAATCCGAAGAAGAGCCTATTGCTCGACATCAGGGAACACTTAGAACTGTTATTGGCGAAGTGGACAAGCTAAGGCTTACGGTTGAAGCTGAAAAACTGGGCAGAAAAGAGGATACTACCGAGTGGAGCGAGGAGATTGATACCAAAATCAGCGAGGCAGATAGTCATGTAAGACTGACGAAGGAATGGTTGGCGGAAAAAAAGAGGAAACTAGAGGAGATGGAGAACGACGAGAAGATCAAGTTTGAGGTAAAACTGCATGAAACTAAAGTAAAGTTACAAGATGAACATATTCTTAAAAACACCTCGCAGACCAGTAAAACTATGATTGGAATGCAAGCGAAATTACCGAAGCTAGTGATTTCGAAATTTAATGGTTCTCCTATGGATTGGCCAAGGTTTTGGGGACAATTCTCAGAGAACATTGATCAATCCGCAATTGCCCCGGTGACTAAGTTTTCTTATCTTCGCGAGTTGTTAGAGCCTAAAGCACGACAAACAATCGAAGCATTGCCCTTCCACAGCGAAGGGTACAATCGAGCGATAAGCATCCTGAAGGATAAGTTTGGGAAAGAATCCGAGATAGTAAAGGGTTACACGCGCGAGATACTTGGGTTGCCCACAATACAAGCGGCCAATCAGAAAAAGATTCATGAGTTTAGCGACAAATTGTCTTACTGCGTTCAAGCGTTAGAGACATTGGACAAGCTTGACGGGGTCAATGGCGCCGTGCCAATGACTCTTGATAAACTGCCTAGCATTCGTGGAGATTTGGTGCGAACGGACCCTGAATGGGAGAAATGGACCTTCACCAAACTAGTTGAAGCGCTCAACCAGTGGTGTCGAAGAAATCCAATCGACAAACCATCTGAACTAAACGACGACTCGTTTAGCAGCAAGAGAAGAGACAAGCTGTTTCATGTCTCTCGTCAGAGATTAAATCCACGTAATTGCGTTTATTGCGATAGCGGCGAGCACAAAACAAACGATTGCGCAAAAGTAACTCTGACGTCAGCCCGTAAACAGATACTAGCCAAGAAACGATTATGTTTTAATTGCGCCGCGGGCAATCATAAAGCCTCTGAGTGTCCGAGTAAAGCCACTTGTAGGAAGTGCGAAAAGAGACATCACACGTCTATTTGTGATTCTCACGACAACAAGGCCGGTGGTCAAATTTCTGGCCAAAATTCAAACGTTGCCATGACTACATGCCAGAAAAGCGAAGCGGTGTTTCCAGTAGTCGTTGTAGAAGTCAATGGAATTCGATGTAGAGCGCTGATTGATTCGGGAGCTGGGAGCTCCTACGTGTCAGCAAAACTGATAGACTTACTCAAACTGAAACCATCACAATCCCAGATTAAAAACATTGACATGTTAATGGCCTCTAAGACGTCCAAACTCGAGATTTACGATATGAAATTTGACTCGCTAGACGGCTCGTTTAGTCTTCCCGTAAGAGCTACAAAGGTAAACAAGAGTGAACTTTTGTTGATCGACAATCCCAAATACCCCAAATTAATCAATCAACACCCCCACTTAACGGGCGTGACAATGAACGACGATGACGTCAAAGATACCCTGCCTGTCCATGTCATTTTTGGGAGCGGGGAGTATGCGAAGATTAAAACGCAAACAAGACCGAGAATAGGAGACGAGAAAGCCCCTATCGCTGAGTTGACCAAGTTTGGTTGGTTTCTAATGGGCCCTGGGTACGAGTTCGAAAGCAACGTGATGTTGATGACCCAGACCTCCCCCGCCGAGTACGAGGAATTGTGTAGACTGGACGTTTTAGGGCTCGAAGATACCCCCCAACATGACCAGACGGTGGTATTTAACGAGTTTAAGGAACAGTTGACCCGATCTCCCGAGGGATGGTACGAGACCGCGTTACCTTGGAAACCAAACCATCCCTATCTTCCAAACAATGAACGTGGTAGCCTGAAGCGACTCGGAGGTTTGACTAAAAGACTTCAACGCGAAAACTTGATGGAGAAGTACGACGGCATTATACAAGAACAACTCGCTGAGGGGGTCATCGAAAGAGTTCCACTCCCCGTGGTGACCGGAAGTGACCCTATTCCACCTCCCGTGGAGACCGGAAGCGACTCCATTCCACCTCCCGTGGTGACCGGAAGTGACCCTATTCCACCTCCCGTGGAGACCGCAAGCGACCCTATTCCACCCCCCGTGGTGACCGGAAGTGACCTAGTTCCACCCCCCACTGTGAGCGGAAGCAACGCAAAGGAATTCTACATTCCACACAGATACGTAGTCAGAGAATCAGCCCAGACGACCAAAATGAGGATTGTATATGACGCCTCGGCCCGAGAATCACCCGAAGCTCCATCCCTGAACGATTGCCTCTATGCAGGACCAGCCTTACAGAACAAGTTATGGAACGTTCTGGTACAACAGAGAGCATTTCCGGTGATAATTTCGGGTGACATCAAACAAGCCTTCCTACAGGTTCGAGTCCGACAATGTGAGAGAAATGCGCTCAGGTTCCACTGGAGATCCCATGCTGACACAGAGATCCTAACCTATCGTTTTACGCGAGTGTTATTCGGCCTTGGGCCTTCGCCATTTCTACTTGGGGGAGTCCTCGAATGTCACCTCGACTTGTGGTCCCAGAAATATCCGGAAGACGTTGAGCGAATACGTCGCAGTTTATACGTCGACGATATTTTGTCTGGTGGTCAAGACGCAACAGAGGCGAAACAACGGAAAACCACTGCAATCGAAATTATGGACGATGCAAAGTTCAAATTACACAAATGGAACTCCAACGTGCCAGAGTTAGAAGACATCAACGACGAAATCTGTGACGAACAGTCGTTTGCAAAACAACAATTGCAAGTCAAGCCGAGTGAGTCAAAGTTGTTGGGCCTCAAATGGGACAAGACCACGGATACCATCTCAGTGGAATTCCCTGCCCGTACGCCAGCAACCACCAAGCGTGAACTCCTCGCAAGTTTAGCAAGGATCTACGACCCGCTAGGTCTAGTATCACCGATAACGTTGCAAGGCAAACTCGTGTTTCGCGACGTATGCGACTCCAGGATCGGATGGGATTCCAATCTCCCAGACAACCTTAAAAAACGATGGCTGAAGTTCGAGAAGTCCCTTCCCGAACGAATAAGTATCCCAAGACCACTCGCGCCATACCATCAACCAGTCGATTCAGCCGAGTTGCACGTATTTGGAGATGCATCAACTGAGGGAGTAGGCACGGTCGTCTACTCTGTGGTCCGCCAGGCCGAAGGAGTTACAACTTCCCTCGTTGCGGCGAAGTCCCGATTGGCGAAGAAGAATCTGACGGTGCCGAGATTCGAGTTGGTCAGTGCTCATATGTCAGCAAATATCGTGACAAACGCAAAGAATGCCCTGATAGAGCTTCCCACACCAGAGATATTTGGTTGGTTAGACAGCACCGTTGCACTTCACTGGCTTCTCGGTAACGGTCAGTACAAACAGTTCGTCGCGAATCGCGTGAGAAAGATACAACAACATACTGAGATCCAGTGGAGGTACGTGCCTACCGAAAAGAATCCGGCAGACATCGCGAGCCGTGGAGGACATATTGCTAACAGTACGTGGTTGACTGGCCCTGAATGGCTCGCTGACCGTGATCGCTGGCCAGAAAATCGAGTAGCGGAGAAATCACCTGCCTCGGAGGTCGAAGCGAAAGTCATGAAGGAAGTGCTCAGCCTCGCACAAGAACAAGAACGAGATAAAGATTCTGAGAACGACCCCTTCGAGAACCTCCTCCAACGTCACGATCTGCTTCGCGCACTCCGAATTCTAGCCTGGGTACGCCGCTTTACGACAAACCGTCATCGTAGAGGGCCCCTGACGTCCGATGACGTAAGAGAAGTTCGGGACTGGTGGACAAAACGAGAGCAAGCGAAAGATTCCCTAAGACCCCACTTCGAGCATACGAAACAGTCCCTTAACCTCGTCATGAATCAACACGGGATTCTCGAATGCTGCGGAAGAATCCAAGGACATTATCCTATATACCTTCCAACCGACTCTGAGTTCACTAAAAAACTCGTGCAGAGATACCACGTGGAAACACTACACGGTGGTGTGCTGTTGACGATGGCAGCAGTGCGTGAGATCTATTGGGTCCCGACGTTAAGACGACTAGTGAAAGCTGTTCGTGCAAAGTGCTATGGCTGTAAGCGATTTACAGCGACGCCGATCGTAAAACCAATTCCAGGAAAGCTGCCTAAAGATCGTACCACTGGCGGGGTAGCGTTCGAAGTGATAGGTGCGGACTTCGCTGGCCCTATACGCTATAAGTGCTCCAACAAACGCGAAAGGAAGAGCTACTTAGTCATATTCTCGTGTAGTTTGTCGAGGGCAGTCCATCTCGAACTGATAAAGAACCTCGAAACGACATCATTTATCCCGTGTCTGAAACGATTGATCGCACGACGCGGGCGTCCGAGAATCATCTACTCCGACAATGGGGCTACGTTCGTCAAGGCCTCCAAGTGGTTGAAGCAAATCAGGAACGACGAACGTGTGCAAGGCCTTCTGCAACAATACGACGTGTCGTGGAAATTCAATCTGAGCAGAGCCCCGTGGTGGGGTGGTCAGTTCGAGCGATTGATCGGAGTGGTAAAGAGTGCTATGTACAAGGTGATCGGTGGGGCGAAGCTGACGTGGTCGGAATTGAACGACGTACTGCTAGATGTAGAAATCCAAGTGAATCGACGTCCACTAAGCTACATGGAAGATGACGTAGAACTTCCAACCCTAACCCCTTCCACATTTCTATTTCAACGAGCTAATGAATTACCCGAAAGTGAACCATGGCGGATCGAAGACCAAGACCTACGAAAACGAGCGAAGTATCTAACAACGTGCAAAAATAGCTTGTGGAAGAGATGGCGACGCGAGTACATGACAGCGCTGAGAGAACGTCACAGCCTCGTCCATAAGACTCAGAAATATAAAGTTAAAGAAGGGGACGCAGTGATCGTGAAGACAGACGATAAGAATCGAGGGAAATGGCCACTAGCTATAGTGGAGAAGTTATTCCCAGGACCAGATGGTCGGACGCGAGCTGTTCAGCTCAGGACGAAAAATGGCGAGATAGAAAGACCCGTTCAGCATCTCTCATTACCAGAAATATGGGACAAGATGGCGACGGACATGCACACTTTGACCAAATATGGCGACCAAATATTACTATAAACTATATGGGAGTTGATCAAAATATCAAATTTTAATATACTTTGTTTAAATATTTCATGGTTGCGGAGCTCGATTATAGTAGCGACACGAACAAGCAATATTTCTAAACAAAAATCGCTAGTATTGCACCGCGTCTAGCAGGTTCCTGAGAATGTTGTATTTTTACACGCAATTCGATGAATTTCATAGTGTAATTTATAGTAAACTTGTGACACAAGAGGTAAATATCCGACGAATAGACCAACATCCATTCGGACGATGCAAAGTGCGGAGCTCGCGATATATTTAATGATGTCCAAACTGTTAATTTAGCTAAATATATCCGCTGTAATTTCCAGGGAAACTGGTTCCCGAAACGTTTAAAAGTTCGCCTTTTTACGGTTCTTGTATGTCGCCATTAAGCCATCTTAATATCCAAAAACGACAAGTTTTAATACAAATTTGAGCTGTTTCGAGCAGCCATGTCTCTTGTTTATTTTGAAGGACTAGATCCCAGGCTCTCACGTAAAAACACAGGGATATTTTAGGATTTTTTTGGATATTTGCAATATTTTTAGTCTTGATAAAAATTTGCGGGGTTAAAGGTCAAAATACCGGAAGTGATCAGCAAAAACTGCAAAATATGGTTTAAAATCACAGTTTTTGGTTGAATAATACTTGAACTGGAGATTCAAAGTAAAATGCGAAGTCGAATTACTTATATTAGGCAATGTTGGGCATATAAAACGGACTTAGCCGCTGACTACAAAAGCGGGAGCAAAATGTCCCATATTTCTGGTAATGATCCCCTAGAACTCCAGTGCGACACAAAAGGGAACGCGAACGAAGGCAGAGTCCAACTGAACCCCGGAGCCCGAGCGTTCGTACCGAAAAGAGCTGCCGCAGCAGATGCACGAGCAAAAATAACCGCCATAGCAGAAGATCAAGAAGAAGATATGTGAACACTATATAATATTTACACATTAACACTAGATTCATTTTCAAGTTTTGTTTTCCACGAACACGATAGTTTAGAAGCGCAGTCTCCTTAGGGAACATACAATTTAGCTCCTAACTTGCATGGGGGAGTGTGTCGGAGACTGTCTATATATATCTTAATATTTGTGATTTAATAGCAGGATTAATTATTACTTTAATTAGGGACGAACATTGCATGATTGACACATTTATATTATTATGAAGAGGAGTTAAAAGATAGGAATGTAGTGACTGTGGGACTGTGAGAGAGACTAGACCGCGTATACAACTGTGAGTGATTTTCAATAATATAATTTTATAAAACCGAATTTGCTTCGTCGAGAGTTTGATTGTTCAATACCTTTTAGTAAGGGTCAATTTACTAAAGCCAGTTGTATCAAAAGTTATAAGCAGTAGCGCATCATAACCAGGGCGCAGGATGGGTCATACAGAAGCCCAATTTCTTGGTTTTTCCTATGATTTTCCAATGATTTTGGCATGATCGTAATTTATCATCAAAATGCTAACGCCATGGTCCTGGCTGATGCGCTTTTGGGAGGCATTCACCCCCTGATAATATTCAAAATGACAGACGTCCAGGGGGGAATGCCTCTTCGGCACGCACTGGCTGGGACGTGACAGCAGTTACTCTAAATCGACCTTCTGTCTGTCTGTCTTTGTTCAGTGCCGGGGGGAGTGACTGCTTCTGTTTACGGTACTTGCCGAGTGACAAATCATGACAAATAGTACTTATACAGGAAGCAATGGAGATGGATTTCTGTATAGTATTATGAGTAATGAGGTTTCATTGTTTTGATGGCATGCAACATGTACGCACTGCGTACCTATTTTTATTTTCTTTAACGGTTTCGATTAGTAAAAAATATTATTTTCGCCAGTGTCGAATTTTTTTTAATCGAAAGAAACGCGTTTTATTAAATTCACTAAAAAATCTACACTGGCGATTTGTTTAAAAAATAATTTGCTAAATAATATTTTGTTTGCTATCCAGATAGTATTATGTTCACGTCATGGTTATCATTGCAACGGCAGTAAGTCAATTTTGGTAAAAAATCATTCTCTTCATGTAGTATTTTCTAATCAGATTTGCTTTTCAACAAATAACAATTGTTGAAAAATTCCACCCAAAATCGTAAACTTTTCTTTTGCCAAAAGCAGCAGGGAGCCACTTTAATGTGTGAATTGTCTTCGTCCACCCAAAATCATAAATTTTCCTTTTTCCAAAAGCAGCAGGGAGCCACTTTAATGTGTAATTGTCTATTTGTCTTCGAAAGAGAACATAAGCTGATTCATCTATTTTCTACACAAGGCGCGCCATTCAATTACGTGATAATATTTCTGAATAAGTGTCAGTCAATATCCACTGGGTTGGGAAATAAATTAAAAACAAGTAAATTTCATAATACACAGATGTACGATTGTTATGAACGACTGTTTGCCTTGTTTTGGCTAACATTTGAACAATTACTTGCATACCTAATTTTAAGATTTTTTTATCACTGCACATTTATCACTGCAAGTTTAGCCGAGCAGAAGCACGCATTGAAAATTCATACACTGACGCTTCATTTACAAGGCTATATATAGTAATTTTCAATTTCATATTTGAATTTATAACTGCTTGGTCTGAATTAACATCTTAACTTGTTGTTCTAAGTCTTTATCCTCTTCATTATAATCTGTTCTCTTCGTTGTCAACCAGCTCATCCGACATTTTGTATCCCTTTTTGATGTAAACAACATCTCATCTTCCTTCTCAAATTTTCGCCGTTTCTCTTCTTCCTCAAAATGTTTTCGTTTAAGTCGACGACGCGTACATTGTTGCTCTTCATATAACTGTACATTACGTTTTCTCTTTTCAGTAGCGGGTTCCAGTGAATCTAGAATTGAAACGAAATATCACTGTCACTGAACAAACTTCCATTCTGAGTCGGCATTGGCTTGACATAAAAATAATAAATTCACATCAATTTCACTAAACAGTATGAAAAGGTCTTTGTAACTGCTACCATGCAGTAAAGTTTTAATGATTATAGAATCAATTATGAGACTTTAGGTCGTTTACGTTCACTCTGGTAAGGTGCCCCAAAGTATATCGCCCTATAATTTATCACAGCAATACACGCTTCCGGAAAGTACGTCACCTTGGCTATAGAGCCTCGTTTTCGTGATTGAGACGTGACCTTTAACTGATGTCAGATACATGAAAACGAGGCTCTATGGCCAAAGTGACGTACTTTCCAGAAGGGTGTATTGCCATATAGTATATATTAAAGTATTAATTTGGCATCAGCATAAAATAAGATATTCTGGATTGGCCTGGATTGCTCTTAGCTTGTCATCTTGCTACGCGGTCAGGTCGATACGAGTATGTGATATTTCGGAACTGAGTCTAGTTCCTTCGATATCAATGCAATCTAGTAATCATGCTTGCCCGGCGTGGATATCACTCAGAGTAACATCACAAACATCATATTCACCTGAGTACATAACACCAATACAGAAAAGATCATGATTACTAGATTGCATTGATATCGAAGGACTAGACTCAGTTCCGAAATATCACATATAGCTTTATTCGTATAGGTTTTTGGGGTGTTAACTGCCCTAGAAATACACTGAGAGAAGTAGCATGTAGATTAAACTAACTTGGTATCTATACATACGGCAGTTTAATACATTTTCCTTATTTACCGTCATAAATGTGTTCCATAGTTTGTGCTTCGAACGACAAGGGAAGTGCTTGGAACTTTGTCTTATCCAAAGTCTTTTCTAAATTTTCTGTAATTGTTTTTTTATCCAATGTTGTTGCAATCATAATAAAGTTCATTTTCTTTCCTTCAGTTCCTTGCATGTAACTTGGTAAGCGAGGAACATGGTTAAGAATTTCATCAAGTTCTCCAAAATCGTTTCTTTCCACGCTATTGTTTCCTAAACATGAACTCTGTTTTCTTTCACTGTGTTCGTAATAGTTTTGATAATTTCTGTTCCAGAATTCTATGAAATCATTCTCATCAGGCAGTGGCTGGTTTTCCTTCACTTGTGTTAATGCTTCTCTTGCATAAGAGGAAGTCCCTGTTTCTTGATTCACGTTGTTTTGAGGTTGCGAGATGTCTTGCACATTCCAATGGTAACAGTCGGAGAATATAAAATCCATTTTCATTTTCTTTAAACCAAACAATATCGGCTTCCGCAGTGGATCAGTCGTTGAAACTGTGTAATTCAACACCGTTAATATCTATAAAACATGAAAGTGCGGAGTTCAGATTAGTTATAGACCGCCACATTTATAATATTTCAAAATAAGCTCACTGCATGCTGCAGCCGATGTCGAAATATTCGGCAAACTGAATTTCTCAAGTATTATGATGGCTGATCAATGAAAATCATCTTCAAGTGCACTATCAATTAAGTGAAGTGGAAAGAATAATTTATGTTACCTTCCTCTACTATATGACCCCCATTAAGATCTAGATAATCGGCCTGATTTGAGAGGCAAGGAAGAGCATGGGCATTCCTAATAAGCAATGTCAATTTATCAGTTTAGGCTGCAGCATGTACGAGTAACCTTGTAGATGATCGATAATTGAAAGAGGTGCATGGTAACTGCATCTTATATATTTATATATAAATGGAAAATTGTGAACAAATACATATTACTTAATATGAGCCGGAATGGCCATATTAAAATATTCGATTAAAGCAATTAATACCTAAAGCCATGGATAAAAAAGAAAACCAATATTATGCAAATTGCCGCACATGAAGAAATGACGATTGACGAATTACTGTATCATCTTGATTCTTGAGAAAAAAGAAGCATGCAGGTTAATACCCGCAGACGATTCGACAGTATTGCGTTCTGCAGCAAGATACATGAATAGAGTTCTATAAGGGTGCATGAATAGTGAATTTTGCAAATTATAAATTATCTAAAACCGAAGAGAACATCTGCCTCTTTGCCCCACAAGCTTGCCATGGGCATAAATAAGGGCGTGCGCCCACCACTTCTGTTCTGCGTGAGCCCACCACTTCAGTTCTGTCACAGGAGATTCGCCCCCTAGGAGATTCGGCCCCCTCTCTCAAAAGGGGGGGCGATATTCCTAGGATATTCGCTCCCCCCTCCGGGGCGAATCTTCTAAGAATATCGCCCCCCCCTTTAGGAATTTCGCCCCCCCCATATAAATTTTGAATTTTTTATCTAAAAACAAAACGATTGCAAGTTGAAAAGATTTATTGTGTGATTTATTTATTTATTTATTACAAGGAGACAAAATTACATACACATTTTAGGCTTCTTAGCAGCTGGTGGTGTGCACGGTCGGCATAACCACTCATTTGAGGTACTTAGACTAGTGTCATATTCTACAATCTAAAGTGGAACCATTGCCCACAGAGATCGCATAAAATCATGTTGTCGTATTCTTCTGGCAGTTTACATTCACATTGCATGTGACGTTGTTGTGTTGTCTTGGCTTGGCTATGTTGCTGGTTTTCGACGTGCTTGGGGGAAGTGGGTCAGTTCTCTATTCTCAAAACAGGAGAGAAGATGGCTACTTATACTATAGCCATTCAATCATTGCATATTACTGTATATTATAAAATAACATAATAACATATTATAAAAACAATTGCTTGCAAATTTTATCAATAGCAGTGTTAACAATAGCCGCCACAGTAATCACTTAATTAATTGCTAACAATAAACTATAGGATTAATGTGTTGGGACTTGGGAAGCGTATTGTATATTGTCCATTGAATCGTCAACTTTCCATGTCTGTGTCAGTGATGTAATCTTGATTCTTGACTTCCGCAAAGAAAATTGCATGATATATATGTGGTGTGGTTTATTCAAATAATTTCATGATACTTTGATTTTATTAGTGCCTTAAACATTTGAGAATGTAACTCTGCAAAACTAAAAGCTTTTCTTTTTTTTTTAAACATATATTATTGGAGTATTGCCTATTGGCAAATGGCAAGTTCTATACCCTTCGCTTCTGAGATTTACAAACTATATTGAAATAATGCAAGTAAAAAATAATGACAACTTATAAGCCATACATTTTCAATTTCCGATAACGACAAAACGTGGATGCAAAACAAATAAACAATACCAATATAGTTACAATAACCACCACGGTGATTACTTTTTAATAATGAGTTACGTTTAAGGATTAACACTGAAAATGCAAAATATGCATGGTGTGCTGTAAAGCGTCATAAGTCCTATTGATCTACTGTAACTGTGTAAGCCCTTTCGATACATGTAATTGTAAATTTGTATTCTTACAGGGCTTGAAATAACGTTCCAAAAGTTCCCGATCATGGTGATCGGCAGTCATGGTGATCCCTGCTTTTTTCAGGTTGGAAACCGAAACCCTGCTGTTCTGCCGATCATAAGCAATTCCTTGCCGATCATTGATCGGTGATCGGTTGTTATTTCAAGCTCTGTCTTGACAATTTTGAATTGATACTGATTTCAAATGATTAATTAAAGCCATGTAATAATTATCCCATGCAACTGTTAGGAAGGGCGAAATTTTAAACGGAGGACGAAAATCCTAAAGAAAAGGTGAAGTTTCTAAAGGGGGGCGAATTTCCTAAAGGGGGGCGAAATTCCTAGGATTTCCTTCGCTTCTGAGATTTACAAACTATATTGAAATAATGCAAGTATAAAATAATGACAACTTATAAGCCATACCTTTTCAATTTCCGATAACGACAAAACGTGGATGCAAAACAATACCAAACAAAACAATACCCCCCGGGGGCGAAATTGTGGGGAGGCGAAAATCCTGGAACACCGGCTTACTTAATTACTGCATGCATGAAAAACACTCAACATGCAAAGTTATTAAACATAACATATAAAGATACATTATAATAAGATAAACACAATAAACTAGATTATTATGTAGTTATATATAGTATATATATGTTATTTACCGGCTGCGAGGTCCGGATGAGAAAAACTGTGCCCAAGGTCTTGAAAACGGCCCGAGCCCGAAGGGCGAGGGACGTTTTCAAGACCGAGGGCACAGTTTTTCTCATCCGGACCGACGCTGCCGGTAAATAACGTGTTTATTTTTATCAGATGTAAAAATTAAATTGATTAAAATTCCAGTGTTGCTTGCGAACTAATTTGAGATCAGTGCAGTTGTGTATTTTCAAAGCGAGGCTGACAAAAATTGAAATTTGAAAAGTTGAATGATATAAAACACGATACGAAAACTCGAGAAAACTGGCAAGAAACACACAAAAAGACGTATAGTTTCAGTAAAAATGTACATGCTTTTTCATGAATATGGTATAGAAGAGAAGCTTTGGAATAAAAACTTTTATGCCTGGCGTTTTGGCTTTGGCTTTGACAAAATCAGTTGCTCCTGACAACGACAAGTTCATGTTCAGATCAGATCAAAAACATATAAAAATGAATCTGTTTTGATTTAATCAACGTTTTTCTACTACAAGGTCCATGAAAAGGGTATGTTGTTTTTATATTTTTGTATTTTTTCTTGTCGTTTTACGATAATATGCTTGAAAAAATTGTTTTTAATATAAACACAAACTTTTACTTTGTTTACAATATTTATATCACTGATTATAAAATAACATGTATATAACGCGTGCTCTGATTGGTCGAAACCCGTGTTTGGATCAGGCCATCCAAACACGGGAGACTATCGTGTTGTTGTTATTTTATAAAACAATTACTTTATGGTTTCCGTGTTTGGATGGCCTGCTCCAAACACTTGGGAATGTTGCTCGAGTTAAGAAAAGCTCGCAAAATCACTCGCCTTCGGCTCGTGTTTCGCGCGCTTTTCTTAACTCTCGCAACATTCCCGCGTGTTTGGATCAGGCCATCCAAACACGGAAACCATAAAGTAATTGTATAAAAATGCATGACACAAGTGGGTAGAGAATATATTCGTGACTTGTTTTCACTGCTGCAGTTAAAACTTTTTTTAAATGGGAAAACATTTATCAGTACAATAACTGTTTAAGCTGTAATTTTTTCGCCTTTAAGTGGCCGAATACATGAGCATTTAAAAAACTTGTTGTTTTCTCGACGTAACTTTTATACATGTCGAATAATTTTCCGACTTTCAGTCGCATTTCTATCAAAATATTGTCAATTCTGGTGAACATCGTGCTTAGTATGAAGTCTTTAGGGCTTGATGCAATTCATTTTTGTATTCTGACTGTCGTTAGGCTATGTTTTTCAAACGTTTTTGGCAGATTTTTTCTTTTAAAAAATTGTTTCACTCCTCAGTTTTTGTCGCGAAAGCCAGAGCGGGCAGTTGCATTTCACAGCGGGCAGTTGCGTTTCAGAGCGGGCCGGATGCAAAAAACCGGCCCGCTCTGAAAGGCTCTCAGCCAATCAGATTGCTTCATTTTCACTGATAAAAAATAAAAATAGTTATTATGCAATAAGTCATTTTCAAGGTATAGACTATAGGTCCAAGGTTTTCCTGCATTGACCGCCATTGTATAGTCTGAAGGACAGGGTAACCGGTTCAGATACAAATCATTTTCGGAGTTGCGACATTATACGATTCAATTTCTATCATATCAAGATATTAAGATATTCTTTTTTGTTTCGAGCATTTATCGCAATTATACACATTATTATATATCAGTATTCATTTGTCTTTCAAAGTGTGTATCAATATTAATATACGTATGAGTGTTGCAATCGTTGTCAAAAGTAACCGCTTATATTATGAATATATTCATCAGGAAGAACCCGTTGTCAATGACAATAAGTATAGCGGATCTTTAAGTATTCACGTTAATTCACGACACAATTTTCCATTAACATATAGCAGCTAGCTTTCAAGTCAATTTCATTTTGTTTCACTAACTATAGCTAACCGTTAAATAAATAAAAAAGATACTGTTTCTGAAATATATTTTCTGTGGAGTATACCGTATACATGTTTACTCAGTTAAACAGAGCAACATCATTAAAGAGCGCCGAGTCCCTAGAATAATTAAGCGTCGCACTTATTCACTGACAACGCCGCGCTTAATCGAAGCACCGTCTGAAAAATTGTTCATGAGGCCCAATTGTGGAAGAAAATTAAACGCGATGGGTATATACGAGGTCGCAATCTTTAACCAGCCTCGGAACTTTTTTTGCCTGCATTTCA